TGGATTACAACCCTACCACATCCAGGAGTGACACTCAAGGGGTGCACTTGGTGAACACCAAAGCTCCACTGAAGTAAATCCTGATCCATAGGGGTGTCTCCAGCACAGCAGGTCTTTGGCTATAGTTGTAGCTGGTCCTCACAGCCGACTGGCCTGGGGATCAGTTCCTCCCAGTGACGCCAACAGCAACAAAGACTCAACTACAACAGGACAGTGCACACAGCCCACACAGGGGAGCACCTGGAAGGCCCAGCTCAGGTGACTGGGGAGGCTGAGCCACTGGACCTCCAGGACACCTACTACACAAAGCCACTCTACATATTCCAGGAGACATAGCAGCTCTACCTAATACATAGAAACAAACACCTGGAAGCAGCCAAAATGTGGAAGCAAAGAAACATGTCACAAAGGAAAGAACAGAAGAAATTTCTAGAGGAGGAACTAAATGAAATAGAACCAAGCAAGCTAAGAGATACAGAGTTCAAAATTTTGTTTATAAGGATGCTCAAGCATATTAGTACGAGTATTACAAAGACAACTGAGACCATCAATGACATAATAAAGTACCAATTTGAAATGAAGGCTACAAGAACTGAACTAAAGAATAATTTACAGGGACTCAACAGTAGAGGACGCTGAGAATCAAATCAGCAATTTGGAACATGAGGAAACAAAAAACACCCAACCAGAAGAGCAAAAAGAAAAAAGAATCCAGACCGGCTGGGCGTGGCTCAGCAGTTGAGCTTCAACCTGGGAGCCAGGCGATCGGGTTTCTATTCCCGGTCAGGGCACATGCCCTGGTTGCAGGCTCTATCAATGACTCTCTCATCATTGATGTTTCTATCTCTCTCTCTCTCCCTCTCCTTTCCTCTCTCTGAAATCAATAAAGATATATTATAAAAAAAAGAAAGAAAAAAAAAAAAAGAATCCAGAAATATGAAGATAGTATAAGGAGCCTCTGGGACAACTTCAAGTGGTTCAACATTCGTATTATTGAGGTACCAGAAGGGGAAGAAAGAGAGCAAGAAATTGAAAACCTATTTGAAAAAATAATTACAGAAAACTTCCCTTACCTGGGGAAAGAAATAGACTTACAAGTCCAGGAAGCATAGAGGGTCCTGAACAAGAGGAACCCAAAGAGGCCCACATCATAATTAAAATGCCAAAGGTTAAGGACAAAGAGAAAATCTTAAAAGCAGCAAGAGAAAAGCACTTAGTTACCTACAAGGGAGCACCCATACGACTGTCAGCTGATTTCTCAACAGAAACCTTGCAGGCCAGAAGGGGGTGGCAAGAAATATTCAAAGTGATGAAAAACGTGGAACTACAACCAAGATTGCTCTACCCAGCAAAGCTATCATTTAGAACTGAAGGTCAGATAAAGAGCTTCACAGACAAGAAAAAGCTAAAGGAGTTCATTACCACCAGACCAGCACTACAGGAAGAGTTGAAGGGTCTTCTTTAAGAAGAAGCTAATGAACAAAAGAATCTGACAAACGAAATAGATCCAGAGACACTGACACACATAACAGACAATCATATTTCAGAGGGAAGAGCAAAGGGGGGTGGAGGGTGGGAAGAGATTAACCAAAGAAGTTATATGCAAATATGCATAACCCATGGACACAGTCAATAATGGGGTGAAGGCCTGGGGAGGGTGTGGGAGTCAAGTGGAGGGGGTTAATGGGGGGGGAAAAATGGGACACCTGCAATACTTTCAACAATAAAGATAAATTTAAAAAAATCTAATCAAGTCCATTTACTAACACTGACAACAGTGTCCTAATCAAATTTTTCTTTCCTTACTAAAAAGTGACTAAGTTATGACTATATTTAAAAGTTACTCTCCTTTCCAAAGGCCTTTTTATCACAGCAATGTTAATGATGTCTAAAAAGAACCGGTTAACATAATCACATTTGGATTTTTGTTTTTATTCGTTTTTGCTTCTCTACATTCTCCCAAGGTGATTATCACCTTGTGGCTGTGGCCTGAAATGCAGAGTCGCAGCCTGTCTGTCTCACCTGTGAGCCACGCTGCCCTCTTGGATTTCCTGCACAAATATTCCCAGCTCTCCCCGGTTGTCGCTCCTCAGTCCCACAACACTAAACCCGAGGCCTCCACAGGGAGGTTTGAGGAGCTCAAAAACTTCCACATGGCGACCCTGTCCAGGAAACAAAGAAATAAAATTAAAGCCAATCATCTTATTAGTGGCATCACTTTGTTAAAAAAAAAAAGTTTTCTAAGAAAACCTTTATCCCTTATCACCTAGAATGAGACACCTTATTTATCCTAGAGAATATTTCTGGAACAAAATATAATACTCAGTTAAAAATGTGATAATTTAAAGAAATGGAATACAAAAATCTAGGAACCACCCAAACACACAAAATCTACTTCATTTTCATTCCAATTTTTTTCAGATGTTACAAATGTCTTCATAAATAAGAATATATTTAATACTACATTTAATAAATATATATTTAAGGTATATTTAACATGTTATACAACATAAATACATAAATATTCTTCAAATTATCCAGGACTTGATTACAATCTTAAGATATTATACGTTCTATCATAACTAACAGGAAAAAAATGTTCTTACCTGGGCCATATTTTTGATCAGCTGATCAAATTCCTCACAGGCAGGTTTCCCATTGATGTGTGTAGTACCTGAAGCTGTAAGTGCCTCCAGATTCCCACTGCTTTGGGATGATAAAAACGATTCATTTTGCAGCGCAGTAGTTACAGCTGCGCTGAGATGTGGAATATGGGTAGAATCCACATTTGAAATTGCCGAAGTTGCAACGTTTACCTAAGAGTAATATGGAGATTATTAACAATTTTCACATTCCATAAACTGTTTCATAGAAAACATCCCAAGAGGGGTAATAGTGAAGTAGACACCAAATTTCAAATTGTCCAAGCCTTTCAATTAAGCAACTCTATTTCAAAAAATGTATTTCAAGGAGAAAAATTAGAAGCACACACAAAGACCTATAAGGAAGCTCAATGCAGCACTATTTATTAGATAAAAAATATTTTAAACTAATTACTTCCAGCGTTCAACTTCAGGGTACTCATTAAAACACACGCAAAAACATTCACATCCATACACACACTTTAAAGTAAAAAAAGGCTAGTTATAGAATATGTATAATATAATTCAATGTACTTACAAAAAAATGTTTACATATGTATTAATCATTGGAACAATATATACGAAACAACCAGTATAACACTAGTTATTCCAGAGAGGTGGACTACAGGGGTCCATTTACTTTCCATATTGCTTGAATTTTTATAACAATGTACGTAGTAAAGAATTTGGTGTTCCTCAAAGAGTGGTCTGGCTTTTGTCCCCAGCTCCTAGGAAGTAACTTCTAAACCCCTGAAATTTCCCAGGTAACAGGAGTGTCTTTGTTATCCATGGTGGGCCCCGAGGTCACATGATATCAGCTCAAATTCTGAAATTATGTTAAACCACATGGGCAATCAATCAATCATACCTATGAAATGATGGTGGAATGAAAACTCTGAACACGGAGCTCAGGTGAGCTTGCTGGGTTGGCAATATTCCATTGCTTACTGTTATGCATAGATTTTGGGGAGGGGGACACTTCCTAGGGAAAATAAAAGCTTTGATTTGAAATCCTGCTAGATTGTCTCTTCCTTTGGCTAATTTTTGACCTGTATCCTTTCTGTAAAATAGAACATAATGGTGATTTAATAGCTTTCAGTAAGTTCTATAGATCCTTCTAGTAAAATGTTGAACCTGAGAATAGTTTTGGGAACTTCCTGAACTTGCAATTGCCTCTATCTTATGTAGATTCTTCCCTCTTACTTTATATTTGGAGCTTAAATCCTTTGTTGTTGGTCTCAAAAGTCTTAGGCAGAGTTGCCAGTCTGGAGGACTGACTCTTCGAACTTCATAGTTTGGTAAATTCCAGGTACAATGATATAAATAAACAACAACTATTATATATTGTTATATAAGCACACAAAAAAGAGAATTCCATTTTGGAAAAATATTCTATAATTAGAGTACTTTTCTGTACCTGTTATAAGGAGCTGCAAGTAAAGCTAAATAATTGAAAAAACAGTACAAGCAGTCAAACCTGATTTCATATTTCTATAGGGTGTCTAGAATCTAACTTTTTATCTGTAACTATCAGAAAGGTTACACCAATCATGTTTTGGGATTACTGTCTGAATTCATCTCCTAGCATTCTGTCCTCCAGCTGCACTCACAACTTCACTTTTCCTAAAACTGCCAAGGTACCCCCTCTCTACCAGTCAGGACATCCTTCCCCCAAGTATCTACGTGCTTTCTTCTTTCATCCAGGTGTGCTCAATGTCACCGCAGAGAAGCCCTCCCTGACAACTCCAAGACAGCATCCCACCATTATGCTCCATCAGCTTACCCGGCCCTGTTTTCCTTCATGGCGCTTATTACCACCTGGCATGTGCCCTGTTGTCACGGAGCTTTCAGCCCAATCTGTCCAACACAGACAAGAACACAGGATTCTCCAGTGGGGGAACCTACTTCATTTCTGATTAAATTCTCATTCTCTAGAAGTGCCTAGCACAGAGTTGGCGTTCAACATACCTTTGCAGAATAAATGTTTATTCACTTTATAAGGACCTACTCTGATATAATGTCCCCAACAACCTTCCAAATATCTTTATTTTCATTTACAGATGATAAGATTAGCAAAGTCACACACAGGATATAGTAGACACAGTATGCATGAACTAGATTTTTTCATCATGGCGCTCTTATCATCTTATATTATACATTTAGCAAACAGTCATCTGAGATATTTCTGCAAATAAGATATTAGGTAAAGAGTTTTCATTGACAGAAGTAATCAAAATATTTCACAATACACCACCAATCTGTTCCTAAGAGTTTGTTACCTATCCTTAAAAATAAAACAGAGAACTCAACAAGTTACCACAGTTATCAATAACTCAACCATTACAATGGCTACCTACAACCTCAAATGAAAAAGAGATCCATGTGCTTAGCAGAGGCTTTTGGGAATCCTTTCAAATGCTTATTTTAAAATCTACAGCACGCCTGATCAATTATTATTTTTTCGAAAGCAAGCTTCTTATGCCAAACCTGATTTTTTTATCCTGAGCCATGGCGCTTCAACAGAGTCTGCCAGCAGACGATACACTGCTCAAGTTGAAGCAGATGGCAGAATAAAACGTGTGACAGGCTGAGGATCCCACACCAGGACCTAATGCCTATGGTATATTTCATAGGAAAAAATATTTGGACTTCTACTGTGGTAACCCAGAGTGAACAAATCACAGTCCAAGAACAGAGAGTCTATCCGTATGAAGTTAACTGATATCGCATAAGACAAGGTGCAAGGGCATGCCCAGGGTACAGTTATAGAGCCAGGGCATTCCAAGGGCAACGTTACAGGACCAGAGCAAGTACATCATTACAATATGAGAATGTATAAAAGTGCTAAATATCACTGTTATCTCCAAATGTTAGATCTTTAACCAATGTCAATGACTCCTCCTGTCTTCTCCTGGCCGTTGAGGTTCACATAAATGGACAAAAATTAAAGAGATCACACATGTAAAAACTGTAATTTAATTATATGATCACACAAAAAATCATTTTTAAATTTTTATAGGCATCAAATTTATGCCCATAAAAAAAAAAAAAAAAGCACAGAGTCCCCTTTTGATTCTGCTGTCACCTCATTACAACAGCTTTCTGAACTAATCTCGTTGAGAAATGAGAATGAATCTCATTTTCCTTGACAGGTTTGTTCATAACAGATACAGTATAAATGCTTAATAAAAAGAACCTAACTCCCATCTTGGTTTTTAGAATATTAAGTAAACAGAAGAAAACACAACTATCTGGCAATTTTTACATGCAGATAAACAATCTGTATAATTTATGGAAGTTGCTAGTAAATGAACAAGAGTCACCAAATAATTATGTGATCTCTATTTAACTTCTGGCTGAGTATCTCAGTCTAAAAAGGCCTTTTATGTTCTTAGTAAATAAACATGTAAATTAATTAATGGGTTTTAATTAGTTCTAATACCCAAAACATAACTCACATAAAGATTATGTAAAGTATTTGATTAAAAATTTGTCAAATTCTCTGTGAAAGAGTAGAATGAAACACCCTCTCAGTATTTAGAAGTCTAGGATAAGCCCTCTTATAAGACACAGTCAAAGCCAGTACTTGGTTCAGTTACTCTAAGGGGTCAAAGTAGAAATAATAACAAATGACAAATATATAACTTAAGCACTTTATTTGAACTTAAAACATATGTATAGTCATTCACAAATATCTTAATTATGGGAGGGCTCCACCTTCTTTCTTGCATAAACCAATTTCATATAATATGGAATTATTTGCAAATTCAGCCTCTAAACATGGAGCAAGAATCTGAACACTTAAACAATTTCATTAAAGAAACTTGCTAGATTTTTATGAGCTCTTTCTGCAGTGTTTTACAGTTTGGTCAAACAAAACCAATTCACCAAGAATAGTTTTATCAATGCATCTAGGTAGAATTTCAAAATAATTTAAATAAGTTTTCATAAATTTTTTATCGTAAGTTTTTATATTCTATAATAAAGTCATACAGTTATAAAAATATTTATAACTAACATAATTAGTTTTAAAATAACTTTTTGATAAATGTACACTTACTTGGCAAGCACTGCAGAAACACAAACAAGAAAATGTCTGAATAAACTAGTGTTTAATGCTCTGGGCAAAAGTCAATATGCAACACAGAAGAAGTGGACAGTATCCTCTCATCTAGAAAGTCACTTATTTAGAGGTGTGCTAAGAGAGTTCCTTTTTCTATGGTATCAGCCCAAGAAAACAAAAATCTTTAGTTCTATATACAGTTAAGCTCACCCTGTGGGAACAACTGTATCACAGTAACTCTTCCACTGTGACGAATGAAAACATTTGTATAAATAACTGTTTTTTAAAATACACTTTAAGTTTATCAAAAAGAATACATCACTTCTGCCATATTCTATCCATTAGAAGCAAATCAGTAAGCCTAGCCCACACTCAAGAGATCACACAAGAGTATTAATACCAGAAGGCAGAGGTTATTGGTGTAGATCTCAGAAGCTAACACAGCAAATCACAGTAGAGCAGCTGAAAGCCAAGACAGAGAGAAAAGCTCTTAAGAGCCACAAGAGCAAAAAGCACTTCACCTTCCAAGAAAAATAAAACTGACACCTGACTTAGGTGAGTCAATGAAAGAAAACAACAGGAATTAAAAATTAAGAATAAGAACAAATAAACTGACAGCCTAGCACTTTCAGAAAACCCCCCCCCACACACATGCTCACACACAAAGTATTGTGTTATCTCAGGTTTGGAGAAAAAACAAACCAAAAAACACAAAAATAAATTTTTAGGCAAGACGAAAATGATCCCCGATGGAATTTTCTTAATTCAGAGAAGATTGAAGAGCACAAAAAAGAAATTAAAAAATGAGTAAATTAATAGCAATTGCTTAACTCAATAAATAACCTAAAACTTAATGGAGTTTTGAATATACGTAGACTTAAAGTACTATATGATAATTACAAAAACATCCAGAGTAGAGTAAATGGGGTTGAAGTGCATCATGTTCCTTGCATTTGCCAGGAAGTAGTGAAAGTACTACTTAAAGTCAAATAAATTAAAGGTACAAATATCTGACAAAGGGCTCACATCTGGCTGTATAAAGAAAACCCAAAACTCAATAGTTAAAAAAATATATATATCCAATTAGAAACTGAACAGCAACGTTTCGGCA